CTACCCTGCGCGGAGGAGGAAGACGAGCAAGAAGAGAAGGAATTCGGAGGAGGAGGGGGGGGGACGGGGGAGGACGAAGAGGAGGAGAATGATGATAGAAGTCTCTGGTTAGTCATAACTTGATTGAGTGGCCGTCATCCAATCCCGCCATCGTGCCTGAGCCGTGGCCGAGATGGTAGTTTCTTGGAATTGCATTGGCAGTGGAATTCCTTTGCAACTGTTCTTCCTCCTCCTCCTCTTCCCTCGTCCCTCCTCCTACATCCTCCCTCCTCCCTTCCTCCTGCGTGCTCTCTCTGCTCAGTGGCAAGTGGGAACGAGCCGACGTGCGAGAGAAAGAAAGAGGAACAGCACTAATGCATGCAATAAGCTTGTGCTACTCCGCCAAGCCCAAGTGAACTAGCACACGCACCGTCGTCGTCTGAGAAGAAAACCGACAAAAAACAACACCCTATTCCCCTGCTCTCGAGGACGTCGGGATGGAGAGAATCGGGCCCTGCATCGCGCCGTCTCGCTAATGCATCGGCGATGCACGCCGGTCGGAAGAGGTAAGTAATTATCCTGGCGAAGGACCCAACCATATGCAGTTGTGGGTACCGCAATTGTGAAAATCTTCTTCGGTGAAACTCCCTATGGGGCCACGAAGCGCTGCACTGGGTGGGGGGGAACGCTGTTCTGGGTGAGTGGTGTGTCAAGTAAGGTTTCCGGAACGCATGCGGGCGGTCCCACTGGGGGCTTCGGTGGAGCTCCCTATGGGGCCACGGTACGCTGTACTGGGTAAGTGAAAATGCCAAATTGGGCTTGCGGGGCGCATGCGGACGGTCCCATTGGAAGCTTCGGTGGAACTCCCTATGGGGCCGCGAAATGCTGAACTGGGTGGGTGAAAATTCCAAATTGGGCTTCCGGGACGCATGCGGACGGTCCCACTGGGGGCATCGGTGGAGCTCACTAAGGGGCCACGAAGCGCTGTATTGGGTGGGTAAAAATGCTACGTTGGGTTTTCGGGACGCATGCGGACGACGGTGCCACGAAATTCTGGACTGGGTGAGTGAAAATGCCACAATGGGTGGTTCGGGACGCTCGCGGACGGTCCCACTGGGGCCTTCGGTGGAGCTCCCTGTGGGGCCACGAAAGGCTGTCATAAGTAAGTGAAAATGTCAAATTGGGTGTTTCAGGACGCATTCGGACGGTCCCAATGCGGGCATCGGTGGAGCTCCCTATGTGGCCACGAAGCTGTACTGAGTGGGGGGGACGCATGTGGACGGTAGCACTGGGGCCTTCGGCGGAGCTTCCTATGGGGCCACGAAACGCTGTACTGAGTCGGGGGGGACGCATGTGGACGGTGGCACTGGGACCTTCGGTGGAGCTCCCTATGGGGCCACGAAGCGCTGTACTGAGTGGGGGGGACGCATGTGGACGGTGGCACTGGGGCCTTCGGTGGAGCTCCCTATGGGGCCACGAAAGCGCTGTACTGAGTTGGGGGGACGCATGTGGACGGTGGCACTGGGGCCTTCGGTGGAGCTCCCTATGGGGCCACGAAACGCATGTGGAACGGTGGACGCATGTGGACGGTGGCACTGGGGCCTGCTCCCTATGGGGCCACGAACGCTGTACTAGTGGGGGGGGACGCATGTGGACGGTGGCACTGGGGCCTTCGGTGGAGCTCCCTATGGGGCCACGAAGCGCTGTACTGAGTGGGGGGGACGCATGTGCTCGGTGGCACTTGGGCCTTCGGTGGAGCTCCCTATGGGGCCACGAAACGCTGTAGTGAGTGGGGGGGGCGCACGCGGACGGTGGCACTGGTGCCTTCGGTGGAGCTCCCTATGGGGCCACGAAACGCTGTACTGAGTGGGGGGGACGCATGTGGACGGTGGCACTGGGGCCTTTGGTGGAGCTCCCTATGGGGCTACGAAACGCTGCACTGGGTGGGTGAAACGCAGGGAAGAGGGGGAGGAGGGAGGAGGAGGGAAGAGGGGGAGGAGGAGAGGAGAGGAGAGGAGGAGAACGCGGGGCGACGTCTCTTCAAAAGGAGGACCCAACACCACAGGATGGTTGGGAAACACATGAAGTAGGAAGGCGGATAACGTAGATTGGGCTTAGGCCCTCCCAGAAAATAAACAAAACACATCAAGACCATGCCGGTTCTTGAATAGGAAGGCGCTAGATGTAGATTGAACACCTACTCTCATCAACGACGGGCGTGTATGGCGCGATTCCCCGAACTCATCTGCTCCAGCTCCGTTCCAGCGGCCTGGAATCCTCCAGGCTCGGAGTGCAGCAGACGGGGTCCCGAGGGAGACGTGTCCCGGACCACGAGGCCCTCCACTAGGACCAGCTCCTCGTCCCGAATTGTGGCTCGACAACCATTTTGGGGCCCGTGGAGCGCCCAGCGAGCCCGAAAACAGAGAAACCGTCCGCCATCGGCGGCAGAAGATCACGAACAGCTCCACTGTACACAACGCGTGAGGAGCAAATAGAAAGGGATCACTCTGAGGAGTACTGACTGAAAAGGGAGGACCAGAAAGAGGACCAACACAATCAGAGCGTACCAGAAAGAATACTAAATAAGAAACGGAGGGCGTGTCTGGCCACAGCGAGCCTCAACCACGAACAAATCCCCCGACATGGGCGTCCCGGAAACCATAGCCCTCCGGAACCAAGTTGGGTCTTACTCCATCGCCCTGCCTACTCGAGTCGGAGATCGACTGACACATTGATTTACCCTATCACATTAATTTACCCTATCATAGTTGTACCCGTAGAACGATCAACAAGTATGTATAATACCAAATCGACCTACGCAAATTCGACTATCGTTTTGCACACTCGACGGGAAACACATCTGGAGTACATCACTTCTGCAGTCGATCTCCGACTCGACCTCCACGGGCGAAAGGACCTCGGGGCCCGCGTGCTCGATCACGACAGAGCGTGGCCATCAGGGCCCATCACATCATTCATCCGAACCCTTCGCCCCAACGGCGTGGCATGGGCCCCACTGGCCGATTTGTTCCCCTCCCTATACGTATATACATCTATATATATACACATATATAGATGTGTATATATGTATCCTCATACGCATCTCTCCGAGGGAGTAGAGCTCAGAGGCGATGAATGCGTACGCGCCGCGTTCGCGATTGCTTCCTGGCCGTTTCGCTAGGGACATCCTCGAAATTCTGAAAATCGGTGGCACCCTTACGCAGATCGTGACGTCAGGGTCCAACAACACATGGAATTTCAACATTCTAACATAGAACCTTCAAAACACACATTGCAATTTCAATGATTTCGACCCCGATTCTCAGAGAATGGCGGTTTCGCCTGAGACATCCTCCCAAAATCGAGCACCGACGTACCTTCTGGTACCCGAGACCCCGCCTCGGAGCCTCCTGGGGGCCTCCTGGAACCTCCTGGGGCCTCCTGGAGCTTTCCGTATCTTCTGGTACCCCAGACACCGCCTCGAAGCCTCCTAGGGGTCTCCTGGAAACTCCTGGGGCCTCCTAGGGCCTCCTGCGGCCTCCTGGGCCTCTTGGGGCCTCCTGGAGCCTCCTGGGGTCTCCTGGGGCCTCCTGAGGCCGCCTGGGGCGTCCTGGGGCCTCAGAACTACATGCACACACAGAGACACAAATCACACCCAACACATCACACGCTAGACAAGCATAGCACACACACACACACACACACACAACACCTACAACGCACAGAAAACACGCACAGCACAGGCACACATCACGCACACACACGCACACACACACACACACAATCCTGGGGCCTCCTGGAGCCTCTTCCGGTATCCAAGTCGGGCCTCCTGAGGCTTCCTGGGGGGCCCTGGTACACACATCGCAAGGTGTGGCAACCCCACTTGCGCTCGAGTGCGACCTCGCTATTGCATTTCACTCCCAGCAGCTATCCTCCTCCTCTTCTCCTCCCTCTTTCCCTCCACAAATTCTGGTGAGACAAATCGGCTGGTTAGAATCGTGCTTACACTTCCCTTGATAATCGCTTCGCTCACTCCACCAGCCTTTCTTGCATCACTGGTGCTATATGTTCGTGTGATTGTGGCGAGCCACAAGGATGAGGAGGAGCAGCAGGAGGAAGAGGGGAGGATGGGGATGAGGAGGCCTCTCGATGGCTTCGAGGGGCGGCTGAGGATGAGGAGACCTCTCGATGGCTTCGAGGAGGAGGCCTTTCGATTGCTTCCCAGCGCATTCCGGGGCCAAACGTCATCGTGGACCACACGCCTCTTTGGGGAGGCTTCGCGCGGACTTCGCCCAGGGGGACTTTTCGCCTGGGCCTGGGGTACTTTTCGCACGCCCTGCTTCCCCTCCCCCTCCTCCTCCTCCTCCTCCTCCTCCTCCGCCTCCTCCTCCTCCTCCTCCTCCTCCTCCTCCTCCTCCTCCCCTCCTCCTCCTCCTCCTCCTCCTCCTCCTCCTCCTCCTCCTCCTCCTCCTCCTCCTCCTCCTCCTCCTCCTCCTCCTCCTCCTCCCCCTCCCCCTTATGGCACCCGTGAACGATTTCCCATGGCGTCCCAGCTTCCCCTTCTCCATCTCCGATCCCGCTGTCATGGTGCCTTCCTGCTTCACACGCCCTTTCCGTGTTTTTTGTGCGAGCCTGGGCACACACGTGCCACTTGCATGTGCAGGGGGTGCAGGCCGCTTCCTTCGGGTCTCGATTGCTGTATCGCATTGGGTGGTGAGATGGTGGGGGTCTGGGTGGGGATGGGGATGGGGCAAGGGGTGGGCTAAACGATGCTGGTGGAGGGTGCGGCGCTGCGGCCGCGATTGACGAACCCACAACACACACACCCATACCCAAAGGGGGGTCGGAGAGGGCTATGGGTGCGTGTTGTCGAATGGGGGTCCCCGCTCGAACGGGAGCGTTCCCCAGGGTCCGACAACCCGCACCCATACCCATAGCCAGTCCTCCTCCCAACGACCCCCCTATGGGTATGGGTGTGTGTGTGTTGTTCGTTCGTGAGCGATGGGGCGAAGGCGGAGCTCCCGCAGCGGCGAGCGCCGCAGAGCGTCCAGGCCCCGCCGGAACTCCGGGCCCGAGAAGCCGGCCAGCAGCTCCCGCTGCAGCGCCCTGGCCTGTGGGCAGCGCTGCCCTCCGCCGGGCAGCATCGGTCTCCAGTCCTCAGTTCGCCCCCCCTCCCTGCCTCCTTCAGCACCTCCGCCTCCCCCCTCCTCCCCCTGGCTGCTCCTCCATGCCCTCCTTCCACTCCTCCCCCTTCTACTCCTCCTCCTCCTCCTCCTCCTCCTCCTCCTCCTTCTCCTCTTCCTCCCCCTCCTCCTCCTCCTCCTCCTCCTCCTCCTCCTCCTCCACCTGCTCCTCATACTCCTCCTTCTCCTCCTCTTCCTCCTCCTCCTCCTCGCACCTCCTCCCAATCCCTTTATCCTGATCCATCTCCTCCCTCCACTCCTCGCACTCCTCCTTCACCTCCGCCGCCTCCTCCTTCTCCTCCTCCATTCCCCTTATGTCCTACTCCATCTTCAGTGGGGCGTAGCTGCATGCAGCTGATTTCCTTGTCGCATCCCAGCGCCCGAGGTGGCTCTGCATCCCGCAAATTTGCACCACCCCCTTTGCAATTCCCCGTTATCGTCAGCGTGACATTCCTTATGACACTGCCAACGCTCGCCTTGAAGCCGGCAGTGTCCCAGACCTACCACGAACAAAAACTGGTTCCAATCGTCGGCCACATCCCGGTTACATGATCCTCCCGGATCTCGCACGCCACTGGCACAATACGAAAATTGAATCCGTCTGGGCCGCGTCACACAAATACACTTTTGGACAGCACAGCGAGAACAGGGGCGAAGACGGGTACAGGCCGTTTGGAAGAAGCTGGTGAAGTAATAATGCAGATGGACAACGATTAACGCAGCGTGGGTGTGGGCTAGCCCTTTTAACATGCGACTCGGGAAGGAAACCTGGGACCATTGAAGCAGGAGGTGCTCAAAGTATATTATATTGGCTTTGGATGGGAGATCCCCAGGCAACTACATTCAGCACGAACTCTGTAAGAGGACGAGGTAGAAGAGGAGGGCAAATATCAGGGTGATCGGTTGGATTAGAGTGAGGGACAAGGACGGAGCACGAAGTGGATAACGAGAAGGCAAGAAGAGGCCGAGGAGGATCACGAGAAGCACGAGGGGGGATCAGAAAAAGTGTAGGGCTTGGAAGATCGCGAGGACGAGCAACACAACGGCCCTCCCTCTTCCTGTCTCTTCACTCCACGTCCTGCCTCCCCCTCCCTCCTCCTCCCTCCTCCTCCCTCCCTCCCTCCCTCCCCCTCCCCCTCCTCCGCCTCCTCCCTCCTTCTGCTCCTCCTCCTCCTCCTCTCCTCCACCTCCTCCTCCTCCTCCTCCTCCTCCTCTTCCACGGCGCGAAAACATAGGCCGTCGCGATCCGTTTTGGCCCATAGAATCCCATAGAATCCTCCTCCTCCCCTCCTCCTCTCCTCTTCCATTCTCTCCTCCTCTCTCCACCTCCTCCTCCTCCTCCTCCTCCTCCCCTCCTCCTCCTCCTCCTCATCTTCCTCACTCACGTATCTCAGCCTACCCTTCAGCACCGGATCTACGGACCTGGCCATGGGCGCGCTCTGGCAAGGATTTCGAGTGGGATCCAGCCGTGGCCACGACAACGCCCCAGAAGCCCCCCAAAAGCCCCAAGACATCCCATACTCCTTGAACCTCAATGCTCGATCCTCAACCTCCAGAATCCCCTTCATCTGCCCTCCTCCTCCACCTTCCTCCACCCTCCTCCTCCTCCTCCTCTTCCTCTCCCTCTTCCTCCTCCGAGAACGACGATGCCTCCTCCTCCTCCTCCCCCTCCTCCTCCTCCTCCTCCTCCTCCTCCTCCTCCTCCTCCTCCTCCTCTTCCTCTTCCTCCTCCGAGAACGACGATGCCTCCTCCTCCTCCTCTTCCTCCTCCTCCTCCTCTGCATCAGTGGCACCCTGAGGCTCGACAAGGCAGACAACACAGAGAGGGCGCCGACACACACGCACACACAATCCGAGAGAGCCACGGCCCTCCACCGGCGATGGCGACGACCGCTCCCGTCGCCGCCCGGCCCTCGCAGGGCCTGCTGCAGCGTGAGGGTCGGGGGCGTCGCCCCGCCGGCACCGCCGGCCTCGCCGGCGCTCCGCCCCGGGGGTGGACGGGGCGGGGGAGGCACGCGAGCGGAGGGAGGGGGGATTGGGAGCGAGGTGCGAGGGGGGGGAAGAGGGAGGGAGGGGGGGGGGGGGAGGGAGGGGGGCGATAGGGGGGAGCCATGGGCCAGTGTTGTACCACCGCCGCTATAGGTAGGCCAGGGGAGAAGGCAGGACGGGGAGGTCCTCCTCCTCCTCATCCTCCTCCTCCTCCTCCTCCTCCTCCTCCTCCATCTCGGACGATCAGATCAGGACAAGGCAGCCCCGAGGGGAAAATGCTCGCCAGTCAAAACTGGGCGGGGGTGGCACGTCAGAAATGTTATTCACCCTGGCGGAGGGAGTGGTGAAGAAGACCACGGGGGGCGGGATGACATAGAGGGAGAGCAGGGGGATAACGCGGGGCTTGGCGACCACAATCCCCAACTTTCGGGGTTTTCGACCAGACAATTTTTGGGCCCGACTCGGGGGTATACATGGGGGGCGTTCATCGTCGATACTGGTACTTCCGAATCCTCCCCCCCGATAGGTGTATCCCGAGATCCCCTTCCTTTCTGAGCGGCCAGCTTCTGGAGAGGGGTGAGTCTCGGGGATCAAGGGCGAGGAATTGCCGAGAGAAGGAGGAAGAGGAGGCGAAAGGGGTTGAGAGAGGACCAACCGGGAGACCCACAACGGTATGGTGATAGATCTCATCGCACGGTCCGTCACAGCACGGGTTTGGACCTTGGAGGGCCAAGTCGCCCCAGGCGTCCTAGGAGAACGGCTCAAGTCCCAAACCATGTGGCCACCCCAAACCTCCACTGACTCACCACAAGGTGTGGTCATTGGGGGCTCCCGAAGCAGGTGGGAGGGAGGACGATGAGGCGGAGGATGAGGATGAGGGGGGCGGGGATCGGGTGCGAGGAATCGCATGCGAGAGGACGACGAAGACCAGAGAGGACCAGAGAGGACCAGGGAGGAGAGAGAGGAGAAGCTGGGGGAGCCCACCGTGCACCCCCGGAGGAGGAAGGGTGAGGCGAGCGAGGAGGGCGAGGCGGGGCGAGGAGGAGGACCAGGCGGGAGCAGGAAGGACCAGGCGGGAGGCAGGACCGGGCAGGAGGGCGTGGGGAAGCCAAGGGGCGCGCGGGGGGGGGCCCACCGTGCACCTCCGCCTCCGCCTGCGCCCGCGGCCCCGCCGCGCCGCCCGCGGGCGGCGCCGCCCGGAGGCTGCCGACCCCCATGACATACACCGTCCGCCTGCCGCCGAGCTTCTCGGCGTCGCCGTAAGCCGTGAATCCGCTGGGAGCCGTGCGCGTTGCTCGGGGGTGCCGAGGTGGGGCCCTCGAGGGGCGGGGCCCGGAGGACGAGGTGCACCGGGCAACGTCCATCCACCCTCGGACCCCTTCCCAGGCTCGGGCCCCCGTCCCTCAGGACCCCGCCCTTGAGCCGCCGAGTGGCGTGCCCCCCCCCTTGTCCGCCGGCGCTGCCTCTCGTGTCCTTCGCGGCGCGGGCCCCCCGCGGGGCGCTCGGCCCCTTCCGCGGCGGCGCCCTCTCGTCCCGAGCCGTTCTGTTGACGGTCTCTTGGGCCCGGGGAGCGGCCTCCATGGTGCGATGTGGTGGCGTCACCTGGATCCGGAGCTGCTCTACCCATCGCCCATCGGGGATCACCGCGCTTCTTGGCCGCTTCGGTGCGCTCCCGCCGCAACGGCCGCGCCGGGCTCTCCTCGAGATTCCGGTCACGATGCGTCCCTGGATAAGGGGTTGAATTTTGAGGAGGGGCCCGTTCCTAAGATTCTCGTTATGTCGTTATGTCGTTATGCCGCTCCACTCGTGCGCCGATGCTGTCGAACGCAACTTGGCAAAAAACACGGGGTATTGGTGGGGCCATGTTCGGTCTCCAGAGGGCCTGCAGGGCCCCGGGGCCGTTAAGGAAACGCTCGGGCTGAGAGTCTGGTCCAGAGAAAAAAAGGTTGAAACCTCACGAGGTCCACATCGTGAGACAACACACGTCGCCCGTGGTCAGGAAGGCAGGCTGCTCCGTCGGGACAGGGCAGAGCTCTGGCTTTCCAGCGAGGCGCTGGAGACGCGGACGACGCCGAGTTTGACAAGGACGCAAGCGATAACTACTTGGTAGCAAACACGCTGCTCCAGAACCTTTCCAGCGGTGCGTTCTGCCCCGGAATGCCTAGGCGAATCCAGCCGTTGGCGGGAGGGGCCCCCAGGAGGCCCCAAGAAGGAAAACCATCGCTATTGGTTTAGCTCGGTTCATCTGTTGTGAGCTATACACATTTGCGCAATACGTGTACACAAAAATACGGCATTATCTACGTGTCAAATATGCACACGTGTAAGTTTATCGATAAGTATGCGCCCTGAGTGCGTTCGGTGCACTGCTTTGCAGACACAGGGCGGCACGGTGCAAACTCCAACATCGTTGCTCCTCCCACTGCCCTGCCATTCCCTTGTGCTGCTGCTCCTCCACTTCGTCGTCATCCTCCTCCTGCAGCTCCTCCTCCAGCTGCTCCCAACTGCTCCTCATTTTCAGCCTCCCACTCCGCCCCCTACATCATATTCCCCCCAACTTGTTTCTCAACTTCCTCCTCTTCTTCCTCTTTCTTTTTCCCCGTCCCAACAACCAATCCTGCCAACATCCCCTCACTCGCCTGGTCCCTATCACGCCCGCCCTGCCTGCCTCCTTCCACAATCACACATTACGAATACGATTGTCTTGTCTGCTTTGACTCTGTTCAGAAGATGTCCTACCCTCTCCGCGAAGTGTTTACACACAGGATTGGACAACAGTGCTGTCTCATATGGTGTTGTGACACTCCGATTGTTCCCCACATGCTTCGTGGGGTTATGGCTTTCTTCCCTGCCGCGTCGCACCCGCGTCTCCTCCTCCTTCTCCTCCCTCGCCCCTCCTCCTCACAGCACTGCTCAGCACAGCTCAGCTCAGCTGAGCTCAGCTCAGCACGGCACAGCTTAGCACAGCTCAGCTCAGCTCAACTCAGAACAGCACAGCACAGCATCACAGCTTAGCACAGCTCAGCTCAGCTCAACTCAGAACAGCACAGCACAGCATAGCAAGCATGGCATTTTCTCGACACCGGAGGGGGTGCGCAGGGGGTGGTTGCCCTATGCGCGCCAGGGTCGTCCAGGCATAGCAGGCGTGGCATTTTCTCGACACCAGAGGGGGAGCGCAGGGGTGGTTGCCCTATGCGCGCCAGGGTCGTACAGGCATAGCAGGCGTTGCATTTTCTCGACACCAGAGGGGGTGCGCAGGGGGTGGTCCCCCTATGCGCGCCAGGGTCGTCCAGGCATAGCAGGCGTGGCATTTTCTCGACACCAGAGGGGGTGCGCAGGGGGTGGTTGCCCTATGCGCGCCAGGGTCGTCCAGGCATAGCAGGCGTGGCATTTTCTCGACACCAGAGGGGGTGCGCAGGGAGCCCTGCGCGCCAGGGTCGTCCAGGCATAGCAGGCGTGGCATTTTCTCGACACCAGAGGGGGTGCGCAGGGGGTGGTCTTATGCGCGCCAGGGTCGTCCAGGCATAGCAGGCGTGGCATTTTCTCGACACCAGAGGGGGTGCGCAGGGGGTGGTCTCCCTATGCGCGCCAGGGTCGTCCAGGCATAGCAGGCGTGCATTTTCTCGACACCAGAGGGGGTGCGCAGGGGGTGGTCTCCTATGCGCGCCAGGGTCGTCCAGGCATAGCAGGCGTGGCATTTTCTCGACACCAGAGGGGGTGCGCAGGGGGTGGTCTCCCTATGCGCGCCAGGGTCGTCCAGGCATAGCAGGCGTGGCATTTTCTCGACACCAGAGGGGGTGCGCAGGGGGTGGTCTCCCTATGCGCGCCAGGGTCGTCCAGGCATAGCAGGCGTGGCATTTTCTCGACACCAGAGGGGGTGCGCAGGGGGTGGTCTCCCTATGCGCGCCAGGGTCGTCCAGGCATAGCAGGCGTGGCATTTTCTCGACACCAGAGGGGGTGCGCAGGGGGTGGTCTCCCTATGCGCGCCAGGGTCGTCCAGGCATAGCAGGCGTGCATTTTCTCGACACCAGAGGGGGTGCGCAGGGGGTGGTCTCCCTATGCGCGCCAGGGTCGTCCAGGCATAGCAGGCGTGGCATTTTCTCGACACCAGAGGGGGTGCGCAGGGGGTGGTCTCCCTATGCGTGCCAGGGTCGTCCAGGCATAGCAGGCGTGGCATTTTCTCGACACCAGAGGGGGTGCGCAGGGGGTGGTCTCCCTATGCGTGCCAGGGTCGTCCAGGCATAGCAGGCGTGGCATTTTCTCGACACCAGAGGGGGTGCGCAGGGGGTGGTCTCCCTATGCGTGCCAGGGTCGTCCAGGCATAGCAGGCGTGGCATTTTCTCGACACCAGAGGGGGTGCGCAGGGGGTGGTCTCCCTATGCGTGCCAGGGTCGTCCAGGCATAGCAGGCGTGGCATTTTCTCGACACCAGAGGGGGTGCGCAGGGGGTGGTCTCCCTATGCGTGCCAGGGTCGTCCAGGCATAGCCTCTAGTGCGGGATTGCATATTGCATCTCGTATCCAAGTGCCAGGCGACGCCGGATATGACCGTCACAGATGACTCCTCAACCCCTCCTCTCCCCCCACACGTCCTCCCCCTCCTTTCAACGACCACATGGGGCACCTGAGAGCGTGACGGCGGTGGTAGTGGTAGCGCGGTTCACACAAGGCATAAAATCAGTATGTGGGGTTCCTCGGTAGCGTAATTTTCGGATGTCCAAAATACTGCCCCCGCTGCAGCGTGGGCCTCGTTTTCGGATCGGCGCTTTGCTTCCACCGTTCAGAATGGAGATCTCGCCCCAGCGCAGCCCACTTTGCTTAATCCGAATCCTTCCTCATCGTTGTCGCCCCCTCCTTTCACATTCTCTGCCTTCCCCCAATCCTCCTGCTCATCCCGCTCCTGCCACTCCAATTCTCGCTGCTGTTAGTCCTCGGCCTTATCCTCATTCCTCATACTCCTCATTTCCCTCTTGCTCTGGTCCCACCTGCCGATTGCGCATAGCACGGTGGGGGTCTTGTTTGGAGTTCCAGGTCCGCTACGACACGCGTCCGCGGATAGAGACAAATCAGCACAAGGGTAAAGGATGGGTGGGAGGGAGGATGTCAATTATGGCGCGAACGGACTGGGCTTGCCGTTCACCTCCTCTCACTTCCTTTCCCATCACCCGTTCGTCTGTCTCCTCCTCATCCACACCATGCCTCTATTCCTCCTCGCTCGCCCCCGTACCATCCCCATCCTGCTGCGCCCTTCGCCCCATCATTCCCTCCGCCTCATCCTCATCAATTATCGTCCTTCGTATCTTCCTCCCCCCCAGCCCACCCCGTTCCCATTTCCAAGGGTCGGAAACAAAAAGGTACCGCTATTGCTGATCCCACAACCTCTCCAAGGGTGAGCTCCGACCAGCATCTCGAGGCGAATCCAGCCGTGGCGACGAGGGATGGGTAAGGCTATCGGTAGATCTTCCTCTGAGAACCCAACCCCTACTTGCCTTTTCGGGGGCGTCCAAGAAAGGGGCGTCCAAGAGGGGGGGGGGGGGGGGGCAAATCATGGCCAGCGGCACGTGCGCGGCCCAGGGGTGGGGGGTGGCAGGAACGCATTGAAGTAAGAAGAGGCGCCATGAAATCTGGGGAGATATCATGGCCCCCGCCATGCTATCCCTCTCCCTACCAAGGGCATGCTAACGGCGATGGTGGTGAACGGCGACATTGGAGATCTGGGTTTTGCGACGCCGAACCCATGCAGAACAGGTTGCAGGAGTACACGAGCATCACTTTCCTACAGCTGGGTTAACCACGAATCAACCCCACCCACAATACATCGGAACCGAAGAACGCGGAAGAGCCCTGCCGACTCCGCGGACGCACGTCGCCGATACATGAGCCCCGAACCCAAGCGTTACCCGAACGAGAGAACAAAGGCGCGAAACTGAAGAACATCCGATCGTACCCTCCCCCAAGAAGCACAAGCACACTCCACAAGCACGAAGAACATTCGGGTACCCTCCCCGAACCGACCTCGATCTCATACCCCGGTCGAACCGCACCTACATCGCCGTTCGCGTGCCTGCGGCCCCAATCCTCCTCCCCTCTCTTGGCCGCCCGCGACCTTCGCCCCCCCCGCCCCTCCGCTCGCAGCCCTCCCAAAACCTGCCCCCCGCCGCTCGCAGCCCTCCCAAAGATCAGCTCGGCAACTAAAGGGCTGCACGAGGCGCGCCTCCGGCCCACGCGCTGCACGAGGCGCGCCGACCTGGAGATGTCCGGCCGCCCCAGCGAGGCGGCGAGCGCCTCCTGCGCAGATCGGCTACACGCAAGAGTGACCCTGGGCAGGGGTGACCTTTGGTGCGCGGCTTTTTGGGGGCCGCGGGGGAGCCAACACACAAGCGCGGGAGACGCCCCTGCCGCCTCGCGTTCGGAGATCGGGGGGCCCCATTGGGCCCGCACCAAAGGTCACTCCGGCGAAAGGTCACTCTTACGTCTGGTCGAGCAGAGGGGCCGGAGAGATCGGGTCGGGGGAGCCGGGCGGGGGGGCGGGCGGGGTCGATTGGGCGGGACACGCAGGTGGATAACAGGAACCTGCCGACGACCACACTGCCACGGGAATAGAAGAAGATCAAATGCCATGAGCATACACTTTTGGCGCTCCGCGCGGATTTCTTGGATCCGCGCCGAACGCTTCTCCCTGGCGCGCGGAACGCGCCAGGGGCGGCGCCCGAGGCGCCGCCGGGGGGGACCCAGCGCGAATCCAAGAAATCCGCGCGGAGCGCCAACAATCTAAATGTATGGCTTTCTTCGTCGAAGGAATGTGAGAAGGCATGGGTGGCGAAACACAGGACACAACATGTCCCCTTGATTTGGCAGGACCGACCTAAGAATCAACCTCGGCTGTGGGAAAAGAGAAATAGGGCCAATATTCTGCGCCGTGAGGAGCGCTAAATTAAGGCACGAAGCCCTTGCTTTGTCCCCAAGAACGCCTGGGTGCACGCAGGGGCCATGCCAGATTCTTTGAAATGCCAGAAAAGACCAGTATGAATAGCTTTCTCTGCTGAAGAAGTGAGCAAAAGGAGAAAACTGTTCGGACTCGGAGTCGGAGCGAATGGGCCAGGAGCGTGCCAACTCTACGATCCCCCGTAAATCTTGGGCGCTGGAACCGACGCCTTGGGGCGCTGGAGCCGCCGCCCCTCGTAAAAGTCGGCGCTGGAACCCGTATGACTTGAAGGCATGAGGCGCTGGAGCCACGATCCCCCGCAAATATTGAGCGCTGGAACCGACGACGAGGGGCGCAGGAGCCAACGTCCCACGTAAAAGTGGGCGTTGGAACCCATATGACTTGAAGGCATGGAAGCCTCACTCCGTTTAGGGTAATACAAATTGTAATACGGCCGGGGGACGGGGGCAGACGGGCCCGGGGGTGGGGGGGTCCCAGCATTGCAGTTACGCCTCGTACCCATACGGGGCCTGTTCGCACGCGGTGTTGCGCGTGCGATGTCTCGGTCTGTCGGTCGGTCCGGTCGGTCGGTCCGGTCGTTGGTTTATCGGTTGGTTGGTCGGTTGATCGTCGTTCGTTGTCTCGGTTGGTTGGTCGGTCTGTCGGTCGGTTTTGTTGTGGGTCTACGGTGTGTCGGTCGGTCCGTCCGCCGCCGTGCGTCGTCGTCGTCTCGGGCGGTCGGTCGGTCGGTCGGTCGGTCCCCCTAGTCGCCGGGGCGCACGCGTGGAGCGCGTGCGATGTCTCGGTAGGTCGGTCTGGTCGTCGGTCCTTCGTTCAGTCGGTTGGGCGCGGCTTAATAATGGGGGGTCACAAACGGGGGGATCAGAAAAGGTCCCCTTTCGTGCCCCTTTCGGGCCCCTCCAGAGCCCCAGGGGGCTCGTTTAGGTATCGTTTGGGTACCTTTTCGAACCACCCTCGCCCCCCCCCCCATTTATGACCCCCCCATTACGCGGCGCCCAAGTCGGTACAAACTTCGGTCGGCCGGTCGGTCGGTCGGTCGTCGTTTGTCGTCGTCTCGGTCGGTCGATGCGTCGGGCGGTCCCGTCGCGGGTCGTCGGTGTCGGTCGGCCCGGCCGTCGTCGTCCGTGGTCGTCGTCTCGGGCGGTCGGTCGGTCTGTCCGTCTGGTCCGTGCGGTCGTCGGTCCTCGGTCGATCGGTTGGTGCGTCGTCGTCGTCGGTCGTCGGTCGTGTCGGTCGGTCGTCGGTCGGTCGTAGTCGCTTCTGTCGTCGGTCGTCGGTCGGTCGGTCGATCCCTCAAGCCGCGCCTCCTGGTCCAAACAGGCTACGCCTCCGATACGTGCATATGCGCTCTAGTATTTTGCTACCAACGATATTCACCTGACTGTAGAAAGGCGCTTCAAGTAGATTGGGATCAGGGAATACAGAGATACCTGCTTTCAACGACTGGCGTGCACTGGGGAAATTACTCTCTGGCCCAATTGGGACCCCAACACGGAATATGGAAAAAACACTGAAGAGATGGATGAGCAGGATTGTGGACGTGCGGGTGAAAATCTGCTCCTCCCCATGCTCGGCATCCGCCCGCACTGCCTCCTCCATGCATGCCTCCGCCACCACCTCTTTCTCCATTATTTTTCTCGCTCCCGTGATCCTCCTCCTGCTACTCGGACAACTCGTCGCCATTGTCTTGGTCCACTTCATCATCAACCTCATCGATATCCACATCGTCTTCCTCGCATCCTCTTGATCCTTCATCCTCCTCCCCTCTAGTATGACTTATCCCCTCCTCTTCGTCCGTCACCACCTCCTGATCCTCCCTCTCATCGGGCAGGTCTGCTACTTCATCTCCCTCTCTCCCTCTCTCTCTCTCTTGTTTGCTCTGTCTCCCCCCCTCTCTCTCTCTCTCTCCCTCTCCTCTCGTTCCCCTTACACCCCCTCCCCTTCTTGTAGTCCTCCTGCCTCCTGCCTCCTCCCCCTCCCTCCTCCTCCTCGATCCCCCGTCCTCCTCTCCCCCTGGGCCTCAATCCCCCCTGCAGCTGCTCCTCACCGTCGCTCTAATGATCACTCACTCAGCCCCCTCCTCCTTCCTCCTCCTATATGATCCGCCTCCTCCGCCTCCGCCTCCTCCTGGCCCTCGTCATCCTCGTCCACCTCCTCATGCTCGTCGTCCCACGTCCCTCTCCCTCCCCAAATTATCCTCCCACTCATCCTCTCTGCGTGCGGCTCTGCCCCCGCCTTTACGTCCCCGAACACAGCGCCGCTCGGCACGGACACGGTCGCCTCTGCACCCCAGCGCGCGCGCGCGCCTGGTCTTGTGGACGACCAGCATGGAACCCGAGGCTGGAGAATACATTGGTTCTTCTCCAATCTGCCAAGGGCATGTTTAACTCGGCATGTCGAAACGATCACATTGTATGATCGCTTTTAGGCTCAAACAAGAAACAACTAGGAATACAAGAACAACGATTCATGTGTCTGCGTTTTTGGCTACATGGTGTTAGCGTTTTCAGAGTAGCTGGTTTCACTGTGTAACATTGCCGTCTACGACGACCTCTGTTCATTCTCCTGGCGAGCAGTTCTTCCTATCCCTACACTATCATTCGTATGGTTTCTTTTGCTCCTCTTGCCCTCGCTGCTGGCTGGGGCGTCGGGCCTCCGTTCCTGATGGCCGATTGCCCATCCTGGGGACATCGGGCCTCCCGGCATGTCTCGGGCTGGTGTTCGGCTGGTGTCAGAGGTTTCTTCGTTGTGTGTTTAGCTCTGAGGGGGGGAGATCTGCGCTAGAGAGAATGAGCGGGAGCGGAGACAGCAGGGAACACAAGGAAGAGCCTGCGACCAGGAAGCAAACAACGCTGAGAAAAATAGATTCCACGCCGACGGGCCTAAATTCACCAAAACAGCTGAGCTGGAGACGCCAAAACACCGTTGCGGTGTGTCATGGCGTGCTTGGCTCGTCAAGAGCCCCAAAAAGCAAAACGGTAGAAGAACGCCCAGGGCGCTTGTAAGAGAAGCAAAGAAGAATACTAAAAATAGTAATACTAATACTAATAATAATAATAATAAGAAGAAGAAGAAGGGTGCCCACGTGCTTTTCCTGCCTCTTTGAGAACCTCTATCGGGCGCGGCCTGACCGACCCCGCTCCGTCAGGAGCCCGCTTCGTGAGACGACCTGTGCCTCGCCGGAGGCTTCCACCCCCAGCCGCCCTGCCCACGTCTTTACTCGAGGCGACGAGATCTGCTGGGGAAGGGTTGGCCTGCTGAGTCGGCCAGGCCGCCCCTGACTCCACACGTCCAGGACATCCGGCGGCCGTTGCTCTTGCTGCTGTCCCTGTCGATGTTCCAGGATGGACGCCTCTCGTCTTACATGGGCACCTGAGAAGCTGTTCGTCGCCACGGCTGGATTCACCCTACAGAGTTATCCCTGGCCGGGGCGGGATCCTGGGGACATCTGGGGCCCGATGTCTGAATCGTACCATGGTCCAGGCGTCACGAGCTAAAAGCCGAGACGGCAAATGTTTCTCCATGTTAAGCCTCTTGATGCCAGTTTCGGACCCCGGGGCCGTCAAACGAAAACTGACAAAACAAATCCCTGCCCCTGGGGAGGGATTGGGGAGGTCGGGGGGCCCTATCATCGAAGAGGTCGAGCCGTCGGGTCTCTGGGTTCCTCGGGCGGGCACCGAGGGCGCTGCGCCAACTCCCGCCATTGGGGAGGGGCAGTTCTTTAGGCTTGGGCCCCGCAGGCCTCTGGGGACAACTAGCGAGAGGCCGCCAAGGAGCCTCCTGAGGCCTCCGGGGGGGACGTTCTGGACCCCCTTCTCCCCCTCCGCTCTGCTACCGCACTTCTCCGCCCCCTCGTGGTCCTGCATCCTCCTCTGCCTCCTCCCCCCCGCTCCCCCCCGGCCAGGGAGGAGCACGAGGGCGGGAGCGCGGGCGGGGAGGGGTTCGAAAGCAAAGGGAGCGTGGGGAGGGCGGCAGCGGGAGGGGCGAGGGGGTTGTCGGGACAGGGCCGAGGGGAGGCAGCAGGGGACGCAGGGCGGCGCAGACCAGGGGGCAGCACCCCGCCGAAAGCACACTCCACGAGCGAGCGGCACAAGCGGGGCCGGCGAGGGCTGCGCAAGCGCGGCGCAGACAGCGCGCAGCGCGCAGGCAGGCGCGAGCTCGAGCTTCTCGCTCGGCCGGCCGGCGGGCGGCGGCACCACCGCGGGCAGCTTGCTTGCTTGCTTGCGCGCACACGCAGATCGTCAGAGGGAGGGGCGCCGACTTCGGCCGCCGGTCTGTCGTGGATGCCCGCTGAACGGTCTGGTCCCAGAAGGAGCTCGACCACCAGAGACCTCTCCACAAGAAACATAACCCTGGAACCCCAGGGCGCACATTGACTCTTGGCATGGGAACGTCACGTCCTACATAGCAGAACCATCGAAACCCAAGAAACCCATGGCACCCTGGAGGCAAGCAAGGTGTTTCTTGGCATGGGCTGGCACCATAGTTTGGCTCGTGGGTAGCGGCCTGAAGAGTAAGTCGAGAAGACGAATTCCGAGGATGGAAAAACGCAATGTCTGAGCGCTGGTGGGTCTGGAGGATCATGACGGGCGCCGCAGCCGCTTCAGAGCGCTGCAGAACGCCCTGAAAGCGCTCCAGAACGCAATGGGGCGATGTGTCCTCATCCTAGGCCTGCCTGAGAGGGACAGCGGTAGCTGCAGTCCAAGGAAGTCGTCCTGCAGTCCGCCCCTCTCCCTCCCGCAGACACGCCCCCGATAATCAACCTTCCGGCGGAGAGCAGCCAGCGAGGGAGACGCGAGGGGATGCCTGCTCGTCCTCGTCGAGCGCAAGCTTCACCACCACCTGGCGAGCGCTGTGGCGATGGGACGGAACCCGCGACCTGACGAGTTCTGTTCTCCGCTCCGTCCCCTGGACCACCTTGGTTTTGCTTTGGACTAGATTCTAGCACGCTTGCTTGCGCGAAAGGGGGGGGGCTCCCCGGCGAGTCCCCAGAAAGGCAAACTGGAGATATCGAGATCACGGTTTTGTTAGCTGCTTGCGCGACAGGGGGGGCTCCCCAGCGAGTCCCCAGAAAGGCAAACTGGAGATATCGAGATCACGGTTTTGTTAGCTGCTTGCGCGACAGGGGGGGCTCCCCAGCGAGTCCCCAGAAAGGCAAACTGGAGATATCGAGATCACGGCTTTGTCAGCCCAGTGCTGATTGAAGGTCGCGAGGAGAGGCGGGGTGGGGAGGGGGAAGAGGGTGAAGCGGGGTGGTGTGAGTGTGTGTGTGTGGGCAGCCAAATGCAATGCAAGCAAACTTGCCAGAAGAAGCAACACATTGCCTGGCACTGTTTGGCATTCCATGGGACGCGCAGAGATATACGATACTATATGTCGTCCTTGGAGGCGCGCGTCCGACCCGAACAACTAGTATAACTACCCATCTTGTAGTATACCGTTTCCAAGAGCGGTATGGCCAGAAAGCGCCCACCACGACGCATATACTATAAGATCTCTCCGTGCGCACATATAGTATACTAGAACCACGCGCGCGCTTAGGTTCTAGCTAGGAGGCGAGCTTGAGTCAACGAAAGTCGCAGGGAAGGGGGCAGGGGGAAGAAGGCCAGAGAGCGCTGAAGGATACAAATACTGGAACCCTCTTGTGATTTTGTGGGGGGCCTCGTCCGGCCGCTCGCTGGGAGTTTGACGTAGCTTCTCGGGAGCCTCTGAACCTGTCGGGGGCCTCCTGGAAGCAGGTTCGAAGCATTTTGGGGGCCGATTTGGGGCTTCTCGGGGCCTCCTTTGGGCCTCTTGGGGGTCTCCTGGGGCCTCTTGAGGGGCCTCCTTGGGGCCTCCTGGCGGCCTCTTGGGGCGGAAGGCTCGAGCTTGCGGTTCGTGGTCCCCCTCTGGGCCCCCTCTTGGG